GCTCCCCCTTCCCTTGCGTAGTCCCACGTCGGTGGCCGACCACCGTCGGTATTGAAATATCCTGGCCCTGGAGAGTCAAGTAGCCGTGCGGCGATGCCGCTTCTTTCCATGACCGCTACATCGCGCGCGCGATTCTCTTCTCCCATACCCTCGCTTTATTCACTGTTTCTTCTCTGTCTCTTTCTCTCTCTTTCTCTCTTTCTCCCTCCCTCCGAAGGAACACCTCTTTCCTTTTCTCATTCTCTTTGTGTTGATATCTTTCCCGACTCCTGCGCCTCCAACCTCGCAACCCTCTTTCTTCCCAACCCTCGGCATACTCGCTCTCCCGTGTCATCTCTCCGTCGCTCCCGTTTCGCGCTGTTCGTTCGTACCCCCCGTTCAGAGTTCCACTTCGCTCTCTTTCCCTGTTTTTCCCCCCCATCAGCCCCTCCGCCCGCTCCACCTACTCGGGCGCTCCCTCCGGCACGAGACTCGCCTCCCTTCGGAGCACAATCAATCGTCGTGCACGAAACGCTGCGCAACCCCGCGAGCGATGCGTAAATTGGAAAGTGCCTGACGATCACACGCACGTTCCTCGCACTTTCGGCCGCTGCTGTGTCTCGCGCGCGCGCTGCACCGAATTGCGCAACTCTGGAATACACGCGTCGCGGAGTCAGATCCACGTAGATGGCGTGTACTCGTACACGCGATCGCCCCCTCCCCCCACTCCGTCCCCCTCCACCGCCCTGGCTGGGCCGACGTTCCCCTTTGTTCCTCGACGACGTCGACGCCCGCCGTCGCCGTCGCGCACGTCATTAATCGCAGCTTTTTTTACTGCGCCTCGCCTACTTCACCTCGTGCCTATCACGATGTTCACATTCTACCGCAATTACAGATAACATAGTTTTTCATAGATACACAACTAACTGTATAATCAAATGTTATAATAAGCGTTATTAAATGTAGAATGGATTTTCCAAAAACTGAATATCCGATACGCGCAATGTTGTATGTTGCAACTTTGTTGTTGGACTATAACGAATAGTATTGAATAATTAGTATTGATTTGTATTGAATTGTTAATCAAGTATGAACAGATTTTGCTTAAGTATACAATTTTCATATATGGAACATGACAGGGAAATATGCAAATGCATTTATATCGCACTCTTTGTTCGAGAAAAATAAAAAAATGTTATAGCAATTATTCCAATTATACAGATAATACTTCTCGACTCGCGAAATATGTATAACGGTGTAGCGGATGTTAAAATATCGTATTCTATACTTAACATTTTTCTGGTAATCATGTTTAATTAATTATTGCGTGCATTCGTTTTCATAACGTGTTCAGCTTGATTTGTTTAACCTGCTTATGGAAGGAATTATACATCGATGCATCATTGTTTGTATTAATCCGACAAGCGCAAAAATTCGTCAATTATAGAAGAGAGATTTACATTCGTAAATCATAAAATAAACATTTCTCAAATATTTGCACTTTATTTCAGAACGGTCAATTAATTAAACGCAATTATGTTTAAAAAATAAACAAATATATAAAGCGCGAATTCGTCTCAATTACGTATTATCTCAATTACGAAAAAAAGAAACGTTTTGCTTTACGATCCTTACATCTTAAAATTATTTCGTATAAATAACAAAATTACACGAGCTTATCGTGGAATTTTTCAATAATTAAAGGCGGAATCATTGACGCCTGAATGGAAAATTATGTAGCGCCGGTTACGTCGTGAAAACAAAAATACGACTCGGAAATGTCAGTCGTCTCATGATACGCGAATTAGTTACGATATCGATCTGAACTCGTTCCGTAATCTACAACGTCTACTATATCGCGACATACCTAATGGCTTGTAGTAACACATATTTTTCCAAAAGTGATGGACATATAATGGAAAATATGGATTGGACTATCGCGTCGATTTTTATCGTAAAAAACATGTGACTTTTTATTGCGAAAAACACACGTGTCTTTTGTGCAGCTGCTACGATAACCAATACTAAACTATTAAATATAACACTGTCCATTAAGCAAAAGGTTTTGTTTCTCCACCAAACTTCGTTATAAATAAAATTGAAAAACTGAAATTTTTTGAGAAAGTCATTGAAATATTTCTTTTCGTGGAAAGAGGATATATATACTAAAGTTCTGTGATTTTTTGCTTCGATTTCACTGAAATTTTCAACTTACTTCGATATGACAAATTTCTCGCGTCAACCTGATACAATTGCAGTTAGAACTATCACTATTTAACAATTTGCTCAAGGAAATTTTGATTTCTGTATGTGACACTTTCTATATGTTATTTTTCTCTTACTCTTTTTATTATAAGCTCGTTTGTAAAAAAAAAAAAAGAAGGAATACAAACGAAACAAACGGATTCAAGATACGATGCTGACAAAAAGCTGTGGAAAACGATAAAATAATCATCGTGCGAATCGATATCGTTCAAAAATCGTTTGTAGTGCAAACACGTTACAAAGGCTATACTTCGTAGCTGAGAGCGAGAGGCCCTGACACGCTTCTGCCGCGAGCGATGTCGATGGCGCGCGCGTTGCCATGCCGGGAAGCGCCCCGTGCCCTGCTTCGTGCTCCGTTCGCTCGTTAAAAGTGGCCATTTAATATCTCTGGAACGACACGAGATATCGAGATGAAACTTTTGCCAGATGATTCTCTACCGTTTGTCATGCTTATTTATTTGGTCGAGAATCCAATCGCGTTGACAGTTTCCGCGTAAAATGCGTTCCGAGGTTCGCGCTCTGGCGATGAGACGCATGCGCCTTACGGAGAACCGACCGACGTTTTTTTTTTCAACTTTTCGTCTAACAACTCCTGGCGGTCGACGGACAATTTAGACATTGCGATATACATATATTCGAGGTATTTTGTTAAGATTTAACCGATATTCGGCTCGTAGCGCATTCATCGTATTATTCGCGCACAACAAATGAAATGGCGTCGGGAAAATATTCTTGGTAACAAAGAGTGCAAAACACACGTGAGAGTGACCCACGCAGAAATTTTTTGTATTAGAGAAATAAATAGCATTTACAAAATAATTGAAAATTCTAGTTCGTAATGGCAGCGTTCGATAGAAAAAGAAGCTTTGTAGCTCTGTGTGTGTGTGTGTGTGTGTGTGTGTGTGTGTGTGTGTGTTGTAAGATTTTTTAATATGATTGATCCTTCGTGTCTCATTAGCTTTAAATGTCTAACCAATCATATTAAAGAATCTTAGGCCGGTATTCATAGTCGAATCTTATAGCGTTTTTCACTGCTGGTGCGCACTCAGTGCACTTTAAATTAAAGCCGTTGTACACAAATCGACGTAAAGATGTACGGTTAATAAACATATAGAAACGAATTAAACTGCAAAATTCTCAATATATTTTATTGTGGTATTTGATAAAATATACATTGGGTATTTTATTAATTGATAGATATCTCACTTCTATATTCAAAGTTGTCACTTTTATATTCAATATTAGGTTAGTGTACAACAGCTTTAATATGCATGCATTGAGTACGCACAAATTCTGCCAGTGGAAAACATTATTATATTCAAGATCGTCTTTAAGTACAGTCTTAAGAAGTCACGAACCAATCAGGGGGTCATATTAGTGTCTTAAGACAACATTAACATTACTTAAGACAGTCTTGAAATTGGAATGAACTATGAATACCGTTCTTACAACAGTTGCAAATCTGCTTTTTCTGGTGAACGGCAAGCGCATTTCAGTTTTTCTTCATATGAAAATCTTTCATTTAGCTTCTCGAAGATTATACTTCTTGAAACCGTGAAAGACAACACAATTGCATTTTGCAACTATTGGAAGTTTTCTTCGCGCTGAGTATGGATTAAACTTTTAGATTTGTTGATATAATCCAATTAGCGCAAACAGAACTTTCAACAATCGCAAAATATACATTCTTGAACGCACCCGTTAAATTTTTTAGAACATTATGCTGCATCCAATGGAAATGTCGCATTTAGGGCTGGTATTCAAAGTCGACTCTTATATTTAAAACAGTTTTAAATACAGTCTTATGCCCGTGTCACACTATTATACGCATTAGAGAT